TACACTGACCAACACAAAAGGTCCAAAATTCCACCCAGCCTTAACCTGCGACACCCCATCCCCTGCCCCTAGCGTAACCGATACGGTATTAAAAGACTAGCTTATGGTCCTACAGTGAGCCATCGGGTATGTAAAGATCTGACTTACAGGACCTCATGCTGTGCAGAGACACTTTTGGTGAATATAAAATCTTTCAATAAACCTTATTCAACAAAGGGCTGTTATCAAAGTACTTGCTGCAGGAATGAATTAATGAAGAGCCGAATTAAGTCCTCTCTGTTGTGTCCTGATTGTTGCTCTCATTACCCACAGTCTCTGGGACTTTGGTCTCCAGCTTTCATCGCACACACACGGCAGTTCCCACATCCGAATTAAAGGGGCACAATGTTCAGGGGCAAGTGTTTGGCAAATTGTATTGATTTATTGTGGGTAGGGGGGAGGGAGAGGGAGGGAGGGAGGGATGGAAATTATTGAATAAACTTATAATTTGAATGGCTCATAGTGGTGCGACTTTCAACAGGTTTTCAATCAATTAAGTAACTACAGCTTTCACACAGTGACTCCTGTTTTGCCTTAGACAGAGCGGGGATTGCTGCCTTCAGGCGGGATCTGAAAAAGGGGATGTGGGGGGNCTAGGAGAGTTCCAAAGCTTCGGGGCGTAGGGGCTGAAAGCACGGCTGCCGATGGTGTAACGGAGGGGTGAGGGATAAGCAAGAGACCAGAGTCAGTGGAGCGGAGCCATCAATTATGCGAGTAAGCAGGTCAGAGAGGTAGGAGTTTGAGGTAGGAGAATGAGCATGAAAATCTTGAAGTCGATCCATTCTGTGATCGGGAGCCAGTGGAGCTTGGCAAGGACTGGGGTGATGTGGGGACGGAGTTGAGAGCAGGTGAGGATACGCGTGGCGGAGTTCTGAATTGGTTGCAGAAGGGAAAACAATATTCAGCTAGAGGCTATGGGAAAGATCCCAGTCAGCTCCTCACAGGAATAAGTGATGCATTCTACGTGCAATTGGAGTTGAAGCTCTCAAGTTTAGATGTGGCCTGTGCCAGAACCTCCTTCTGTCCACGGCAATTTGTCTAAAAGCTCGAGGCAGTTGAAATGTCAAATCCTTTGGTGAATAAAGATGAGGGGAAACCAGTTCAACCAACAGATAACTCCGTGGATGGATGTTGTCCTGGCTCACGATCTCCACATAGAAAGATTCAATCATTCACCTCATGGCTGTTTACGCCAACAAAATACACATACGCAGTTTCAAGTACATAGCCCCGAGTCACGGCTGTGAGTTGACAGTGTTGGCTGTTGCTCATGTAAGTGCTGAGGGAGAGTTGCATTATCGGAGGTGCCGTCCTTCAGATGAGACATTAAACCCAGATCCCGTCTGCCCAGTTCAGGAGGACGTTAAAGATCCCACGGCACTATTTGAAAAGAAAAGGGAGTTTCTCTCTCCCGGTGTCCTGGCCAACAATCTCTCCAGATAAAATTGGTCTCCATGGCTGTTTGTAGGATATTGCTGTGTGCAAAATTGGCTGTTGCATTTGGCTACAAAATATATAGTCAATACAATTTACAGTATATCCTGTGAAGTGCTTTGAGACGTTTCAATGACAAGATAAGGCGCCATAGCAAATGCAAGGATTATTATTATTTATTATTTAATTAGCAAGCCGTGTGTCATAGGAACAGTCACTAAACCTGAGAGCAATTACATGTGGAACCCTTTGAGATGTTTTCAAGTGATAAAACACCTTTGAATTCTTTTTTTCTCCCTCTCTCTGCCTTCCTTCCTTCATTGCTTCTTCCTCTATTCCAAAAACATACTGGACCCGTCGTTCGACAAGGACATCGAGCAAAATAATTCTGAGGATGTGCTTTTTCTTACTGTTTCAGTGGCTTCAAGATGTTTACAAGATAATAACACGTCCCATGTCCATTAACCAAGCATCTGATCATCATATCATAAACCCTGATTACACACTTGATGGGTCACTGTAGGCATCATCCTGCCTCAACGCTGTGAAGTGTCATGGATTTGATTTCAGGATGTGCCTGACAGCTGCCTGCAATAAACCTCCCCCCACCCCAAAATGATAGAGAGACGGCAGTGATTTCAAGGCTGTCATTACTTCTTAGAGTTGAGGCAAAAGCTTAGCCAGCCAGCCTTTCCCCTCATCCCACCAATTTTACATATTGTCAAACCTCTCCGTGTGTCTCCAGGCTGCACTCGCTCCAAGATATTTGCCATTCTAAATGTGAACATTTCCAACCCATCGACTTGATTCCAGCCTGGAATTCACTTCTAAATATCTATCAGTTTATATATACATCATCTCCAAGCCTCACCTGTGCTCCAGCCAGTCCCCTCCCTCTCTCCTTCGTCCCTCCATCACTCTCCCTCCCTCCCTGCCTTCAAAACCCGTGTTCAAGCGCCATCTTTTTGACTGCACATTTAACCCCCACCCACCCACCCACCCACACAGCCACCCACCCACCCACACAGCTCCCCCTCCCCACCTGAAAGGCGCTGAATTAATGTAAACTGTAAAATCGTGTAAAAAGATAAAGCTGAGAGGGTTTGTGTTGTCAGTAATGGAGATACCAGGCAGTGATTACAATCCAGTAATTGAACCTCACAGAGTAAATTATAGGCTATAAATTGCTCTGGTGCAGTTTTGATCCTGAACCCATTGGCTCACTGACAGCTGTGTGGCTGTGGCAGACCCTCAGGGCTGGATGTGCAGGTGGCCAGGCTGTGGGCCAGGGGCGTAGCCAAGGGTGGGCCGCAGTCACTCAATTAGCACCCAGCCCACTGTGACGGGAAGAGAGCCGGGACGGGGTGGGGTGGGAGGGGGTGGGGTTGGGTACGAGGCAGTGCGGAAGGAGCCAACAACAATAACAACAACAAAAAACAAATGGCCTTTACACAGCGCCTTTCGCGTCAGGAGGATGTCCCAAGGTGCTGGAGAGTCACGGGTTTGCTCTCGAGCTGGGGTGTGGAGGGTAGGGGTCTGGGGGTGGGAGTGTGGCCAAAGGCACGGTTGAAGGGGAAGATCTTGAGATGGGCCTTGAAGGCGGTTTGAGGGAGGGGAAGAGGTGGAAGAGAGATGGGACGCACGAAAACCTTTGGTCCTCACCCGCCCACTGTAAGTTGGTGCCTCCGCACATCCCCGTTCCTAGCTACGCGCCTGCACGTGGGCACGCTTAAACCACAGTGCATTTCACAGAGCCCTTGTGATGTGCTGCGCTGGATTGTGCTGGGCTGCGCTGGGGGCTGCACTGTGCTGTGCTGGGGGCTGCACTGTGCTGGGGCCTGTGCTGGGGGCTGCGCTGTGCTGGGGGCTGTGCTGTGCTGGGCTGGGGGCTGCGCTGTGCTGGGGGCTGTGCTGTGCTGGGCTGGGGGCTGTGCTGGGGGCTGTGGTGTGCTGGGGGATGTGGTGTGCTGTGGGCTGTGCTGTGCTGGGGGTTGTGCTAGGGGCTGTGCTGTGCTGTGCTGGGGGCTGTGCTGTGGTGTGCTGGGGGCTGTGCTGTGCTGGGGGCTGTGGTGTGCTGAGGGCTGTGCTGGGCTGGGGGTTGTGCTGGGGGCTGTGCTGTGCTGGGGGCTGTGCTGTGTGTGCTGGGGGCTGTGCTGTGTGTGCTGGGGGCTGTGCTGTGTGTGCTGGGGGCTGTGCTGGGCTGGGGGTTGTGCTGGGGGCTGTGCTGTGGTGTGCTGGGGGCTGTGCTGGGCTGGGCTGTGCTGTGCTGGGGGCTGTGCTGTGCTGGGGGCTGTGCTGTGCTGGGCTGTGCTGTGGTGTGCTGGGGGCTGTGGTGTGCTGGGGGCTGTGCTGTGCTGGGCTGTGCTGGGCTGTGCTGTGGTGTGCTGGGCTGTGCTGTGCTGGGCTGTGGTGCCTGGTGCTTTGGTGTGTACAATGCACAGCACTGGTTAACGCTCGGTTCAAGCCTCACTGTCCTGTGTAAATCTTGTTCCTCTGCTCATGGCTGACAGCTGGACTGCTGCTCCCAGGCTGTGTGGGGGGGGGGGGGGGGGGGGGGGATGCTGTGCTGGTTGGGTGTGGAGTACACATATATCTTTTTCGGGGGGGGTGGGGGGAGATATATTTTGGGGGGTATTACAGGGCTGGGGTCTGGGCTGGCACACACAGACCCTGACACACACACACACACACAGACCCTGACACACACACACACACAGACCCTGACACACACACACACAGACCGACACACACACACACACACAGACCCTGACACACACACATACACACAGACCCTGACACACACACACAAACCCTGACACACACACACAGACCCTGACACACACACACAGACCCTGACACACACACACACAGACCCTGACACACACACACACCCTGACACACACACACACAGACCCTGACACACACACACACAGACCCTCACACACACACACAGACCCTCACACACAGACCCACAGACCTTCCTCCTGTGTGGTGGACAGTGATGGGCAGCGCTGATGGAGGCGGCGCTTCCCTATTGGACGGCGCAGACAGAGGGCGGAGCTACTCCCCGTCCCTTTAAACCCACAGCTGTGCTGAGACTCAGACAGACAGACACTCACAGACAGACAGACACAGAGAGACTCACAGACAGAGACTCACAGACAGACACAGAGAGACTCACAGACAGACACAGAGAGACTCACAGACAGACACGGAGAGACTCACAGACAGAGACTCACAGACAGACAGAGACTCAGACAGACACACAGAGAGACACAGACAGTCACAGACACACAGACAGTCACAGACACACAGAGACACACAGAGGGAGAGAGAGACACAGACAGAGAGAGACACAGACAGAGAGAGACACACACACAGAGGGAGAGAGAGAGACACAGACAGAGAGAGAGACACACACACAGAGACACAGATAGATAGAGACAGACACACACACACACACACACACACACACTCGCAGAGAGTGACAAAGACACAGAGAGAGAGAGAGAGAGAGCTCTGAAGCTGCGTGTGAGAGAGAGAGAGAGAGAGAGAGCGCCTGTGGGTGAGGAGCGGTTTCCAGGTGACAGACACCGCCTCACAGGCACTGCACTGACCACAAGGACCGGACATTCCCAACACAAACAGAGGAGGAGAGTCAATGCGCCTGAAACAGACCATCACATCCGCACCACATCTGTCCAATGCTGTGAGCGGCAGCGACCTGAGCAGGTGAGGCACCGCCGGACAAAGCCTCTGTGGGTGTGTGAGGGGCTGTGTGTGTGGATGTGTGACAGGCTGTGTGTATGTGTGTGAGGCTGTGTGTGAGGGTGTGTCTGTGTGAGGGTCTGTGTGTATGTGAGGCTGTGTGTGAGGGAGGGTGTGTCTGTGTGAGGGTCTGTGTGTATGTGAGGCTGTGTGTGAGGGTGTGTGTATGTGTGAGGCTGTGTGTGAGGGTGTGTGTATGTGTGAGGCTGTGTGTGAGGGTGTGTGTATGTGTGAGGCTGTGTGTGAGGGTGTGTGTATGTGTGAGGCTGTGTGTGAGGGTGTGTGTATGTGTGAGGCTGTGTGTGAGGGTGTGTGTGTGAGGCTGTGTGTGAGGGTGTGTGTATGTGTGAGGCTGTGTGTGAGGGTGTGTGTATGTGTGAGGCTGTGTGTGAGGGTGTGTGTATGTGTGAGGCTGTGTGTGAGGGTGTGTGTATGTGTGAGGCTGTGTGTGAGGGTGTGTGTATGTGTGAGGCTGTGTGTGAGGGTGTGTGTGTGAGGCTGTGTGTGAGGGTGTGTGTATGTGTGAGGCTGTGTGTGAGGGTGTGTGTATGTGTGAGGCTGTGTGTGAGGGTGTGTGTATGTGTGAGGCTGTGTGTGAGGGTGTGTGTGTGTGAGGCTGTGTGTGAGGGTGTGTGTGTGTGAGGCTGTGTGTGAGGGTGTGTGTATGTGTGAGGCTGTGTGTGAGGGTGTGTGTATGTGTGAGGCTGTGTGTGAGGGTGTGTGTATGTGTGAGGCTGTGTGTGAGGGTGTGTGTGTGTGTGAGGGTGTGTGTATGTGTGAGGCTGTGTGTGAGGGTGTGTGTATGTGTGAGGGTGTGTGTGAGGGTGTGTGTATGTGTCAGGGTGTGTGTGAGGGTGTGTGTATGTGTCAGGGTGTGTGTGAGGGTGTGTGTATGTGTGAGGCTGTGTGTGAGGGTGTGTGTATGTGTGAGGCTGTGTGTGAGGGTGTGTGTATGTGTGAGGCTGTGTGTGAGGGTGTGTGTATGTGTGAGGCTGTGTGTGAGGGTGTGTGTATGTGTGAGGCTGTGTGTGAGGGTGTGTGTATGTGTGAGGCTGTGTGTGAGGGTGTGTGTATGTGTGAGGCTGTGTGTGAGGGTGTGTGTATGTGTGAGGCTGTGTGTGAGGGTGTGTGTATGTGTGAGGCTGTGTGTGAGGGTGTGTGTATGTGTGAGGCTGTGTGTGAGGCTGTGTGTGAGGGTGTGTGTATGTGTGTGAGGCTGTGTGTGAGGGTGTGTGTATGTGTGAGGCTGTGTGTGAGGCTGTATATGTTTTTTAAAAAAATTGAACCACGATTAGATTTTGATGGGGATGTGAATAAAGCAACTGCCATGTCACTGCCCTGGTCGGTGCAGCCTAACCTCTGCAGCCTGTCATTCAGATTGCTATGGATTGCACTAAATGTGCTCCCCCAACACCCCCCCCCCCCCCACCCCTCCCTTCAAATGGGGTGTGAGGTGCAGAAGGGTGGGGTAGGGAGGTGGAGGGGGGTTGGGGGGACAGATGTACTGCTGGATTGTTTGCAGTGTGATAAATTATTGCTTTTTTTTTGGTCACATGCGGAAACCGATCACTGTGCTGAAGAGACTCCAAACCAAGCTGAGGGTTTCATGCAAAGTGAAGCCATTGTGGAGGTTCTGGCAATTGCATTGTTTGGTGCCAGAGGCTGCGGTGCTGTCTGGCTGTGTGCAAGTGTGGAGAGGAAAGGAGCTAAGCTGAGCTGCCCACTGATCCCAGCCCTCTCTAAAGCATCCCCTGTGCTCCCTGTCCGCTCCAGCCCTGAACACGGTGTGGCCGCGTTTCATTCAGCGGCGTGAGTGTGTGTGTGTGTGTGTGCGTGTGTGTCGTTGTCTTAGAAAACACAGCCGAAAAAAAACGCCTTGAAGCATCTTATACAAAGACATCGGATGTTTTTCCCCCCCCCCCCCCTCTATTGCAAAATCTATTGAAGAAATATTTCAGGGATTAAATATAATAATAATAATCCTTGCGTTTGATATATATATATATATATATACGTGTGTATATTTATATCTTACGTATCTTTTGATACACAGTGTGTGCAAATGATTCCGTTGCTTTGTGCCTTGGATACCAAATCCACAATAAAGGCTGAGCAAACGAGGAGACAGGAATTGACAGCGTCGCTCTAGGAACAGAGCTGCTTGTTAGATGTCTGTCCCCCAGGAGCGGCACACAGGTGCGGTATTTTCGCCTGTAACAGCCCGAATCGCAATGAATTGCTCATTTTCGCCAAACCGATTTGCAACCGGGAAATTGCATTGAAGTACACAATGAAGCAAACGGTTGTTTCTTTTTTTTTTTATTGACGTCGATGTAGGTCTTGACGAGAGGTGAACAGACAAGCTGTCACGTTCAGCTCATTTCATTGTTCTTCTGGGGTTTGTGTTAAAATACTGAGCGGTTGGAAAACCACAATTAACCTGGAATTTACCCCCTCTGCTCCCCCCCCCCCCACACACACTCTCCTCCGACTCCCTCGCTACTCCCAAATCATGATCCATGGAAAGGCTGTTAATTTTACCTGTTTGATGGTCTTTGATGAGCTGTTAAAAATGTTTACGCTACCCCTTAAACTACGCTCCCCCCTCTCTCATATCAAACGTGTTTCAAGCTCCGTTTTGCCCAAAGAAATATACAGTCGATTCACTTGACAGTACATTCTGTGAAACGCTTTGAGACATCTCAACGATGTGCTACGGCACAAAGGATTATTATTATTATTATTATTTTTAATGTGTGTTTTCCGTGTATTCCATTACAAACAGCATTCCCGATCGGGGATGTGGAGACTGGAATGGAGCTGCATGACCCGGTGCTGGGAAACATCCCTGGATTCATGTGTTGTTATTGATTTGGGGTGTTTGCTTTGTGCAGTTCTGGCGTGATCAGCTTTCTGATCTCACTACACAAATCCAGGGCTGACAGAAACTATTTTATGCATTTCAAAGAACCTTGAATTCCTAACCAGTTATCGCCAAGGGATGGGATCCACAAGACTCACCTTTTTGCCATAAATATTATCCATATTTCTCAGGGAATCCAGTCCCGAATTCTCGCTAAATGCAATTATTTTCACATCACTCTCATTTAATTATACAATGCCATGTAATCTGCAAATACCCTTTATCCACTGACCTCCTTAAACCTCTCCCATACTCCAGCTCAGTGATTTTCATAGGAAACCCACTCACTGGCTGATCGCTGGGTATAATCCGGGATCGCTCTGTTGCGGTGTTAAAATAATCGCCGGGATTAATATTCAGCATTTTAGTGGAGGTCAGTTTGGAGGTGATGCTTAAATACAATATTAATGTGCTCGAGAAACAATCTTTTAGGTACCGTGTGTGAAATATTAGAATGAATAAGTGGTGTAAAATATATATATTTACACTTCATGGCTGCTTCTGGAATGACGCTGTGTGCAAATTGTTTACTGTGTTTTCCAACAAAGACACACTCACTCCACTCCACTGCAAATCTTGTGAAGCTTTGAGATGTCTTGGCAATGTGATAAGGCGAGATATCAAATGTAAGGATTATTATTAAAAGCGCCGTATAAAATGCAAAGGATTTTATTGTTTTCATTATATACAGATGGAAAAAAAATCCTAGACATAGAGAGACAGGAGGCTGAGAGAGAGAGAGAGAGAGAGAGGGGGAAAGAAGGAGAGAAAAGGGCTAACAAAGAAATAAAGACAGGAAAATAGGCAAAAATAGAAATAGATCAACTGAAAGAGAGACACAAAGACGGAGAGACAGTTTTGGTTAAGCGAAAGCCAGAGATCAACCTGCTCTTCAGCATTCCTGTTCCATATTTCATTAGTTCCTACCCAGATATATTTTTTGCATTGTGTGAACAGCCTAATTGTAAGAGACATAAAACACAGAGAGAAAGACACGGAGTGTACTGAGTACGTCAATCATCTCTCTGCCTCAATCTCTGTGTCTCTGTCTTTCTCTCAGTCTGCTGTTGAGGCGCAGTGTACGTGATGATTGGCAATATTTAGGTCTGTTTTTGGGGCAAGATTTGACGAGGAGTATATGGACAGTGGTGTGACACACTCGTGCCCAATGCTGCTCATTCTGGGAGGGCTCTGAATGCATTCCTATTGGAGGTAGCTTCATCCAACCCAGCATTACCCACATTGCTTCCCAATAGACAGGACTGAAGACGGACTCGATGGTGAGAAGACATCATTGTTTCTGGTGGAGAGTTGATTGAACCTGATTGAAGTTGGAAATGTTTCATGGTCCCATCGATGGTTGTTCTGAGCTGCAGAATGTGTCAGCGCAGAGATGTAAGGTCGCTGCGGTTCCTGAGGGGTGATTCACAGCCGGGATTCATTGTACCGCCAGCCCCCAGCCTGGGAGCTTGCAATAGGACCGTTAGCCAACTTGTGCTGATCGTGCTTTCTCTCTCATAGGGGCAAAGATCTGAATTTGGAGCTGGGAGAATCCACGCTGGAACCCGCTTCCCCGCTGTTCCTGAGAGCATGAATTTGTCGCTGATGTCGAGAGGAGCAAGTGATGTGCTGGACGAGCTCCAGCTGCTCGCGGCTCAGAACCTGGAGAGGCTGGAGGTGAACAAGTACTACGAGGTGATCAGAGAGCTGGGCAAAGGCACCTACGGCAAGGTGGACCTGGTCATCCACAAAGTGCGAGGTATGTGGGTTTCTGGTTTATGGGTGGTTGTTGTTGGTCTAAACTGGACCAGAGTGTGGGTGGTGGAGGTTTGTGTTCTGTCCTCTTGCCTGTCCAGCACCAAGCCAGGGCATTGCTGATGAAATGCCCCCATGACAATGCAGCTTGTTTTACCAGAAGCTGTGCTTTGGGGCATTAAGATGTTGTTGTGCCGGCACACCCAGGGGCGGAGGGAGCTCCAGTCATTGTGCGTGGTGAGCCGGGCAGAAGGGATTCTGTCAGTCAGGCATGCGTTGGAACCTTACACTTCGGCTCCTGCCAATGCCTGCTTCTGGGTGTGTGTGTGTGTTTTGTGTGTGTTTTGTGCGCGTGTGTGTGTGGGTGTGTTTAACCTTTAGTTCCTTCTGTGGTCTTGCCCCACCCAACCACCACCACCACCTCAAAACCCTACCGACCTGGCCAATCCCCCCATACAATAGGCACGGGTCTGCTTCAAGTCCTGCGCCCCACTATTGGCACTCGGGCTTTCAGTGTATCTGCTCCCACTCTCTGGAATTCTGGAATAGTTCCCTTTGATGTTCCCTTGAACAGGCAGTCGTGACCCGGGTTTAACATCACATCCAAAGCACGGCACCTCCAACAATGCAAGCCACCCCCAGCATTGGAGCGACAGTTAAGACTACGTCATTCCAAGCCCCGACGTGGGGCTTGAACCCGCCACCTTCTGACTTGGAGGCGAGAGTGCTGCCCACTGCGCCAGGCTGACATCCTGCGCCAGGCTGACACCCAGTTTTCTTCCTCCTCTTCAGGTACCAAGATGGCTCTGAAGTTCCTCAGGAAGAAGACGACCAAACTGAAGAGCTTCCTGAGAGAGTACAGCATCTCCCTCTACCTGTCCACCTCCCCCTTCATCATCGACATGTTCGGCATTGCTTTTGAGACGGACGAATACTATGTGTTTGCCCAGGAATACGCGACAGCAGGAGACCTCTTTGACATCATCCCTCCCCAGGTACACGCACACTCTATCCAATATTCTCAACACAACATCAACTCGCATGTATATGGTGCCCCTCGTGTGTACCTCAACTCCAATTGCCCACCCTTGCCCCATACCCCTTGATACCCCGACCTCACAAATAAATTCAGAGCGATAAGCGTTGTTGGTGATGTGATGGAGGCATAAACTCCACCCGATTACATTGTGTGTTTGTGTCTTCCCAGGTTGGCCTTCCTGAGCAGGTCGCCAAGCGCTGTGTGCACCAAGTTGCCTTAGCCCTGGACTACCTCCACAGCAGGAAGCTGGTGCATCGGGACATCAAGCCCGAGAACATCCTGATCTTTGACAAGGAGTGCCGCAAAGTCAAACTCTCTGACTTTGGGATGACCCGCCGGGCTGGCACCCCTGTCAAGCGGGTGAGTGGCACCATCCCGTACACAGCGCCCGAGCTCTGTGACTCCTCCAAACACGAGGGCTTCTCCGTGAGCTACAGCATCGACGTGTGGGCCTTTGGGGTGCTGCTGTTCTGCATGCTGACTGGCAACTTCCCGTGGGAGAAGGCCCTGCCCTCGGACTCCTTCTACGATGAGTTTGTCAGGTGGCAGAAGCGCCGATCGTCCACGGTGCCCTCGCAGTGGAGGCGCTTCACCGACGACGCCCTCCGCATGTTCCGGAAGCTTCTGCCCATTGAGCCCGAGAGGCGCTGCTCGGTCAAGGAGGTCTTCAGGTACCTGAGTCACCGCTGGATGCTGGACACGGACACCGGCGGAGGTCTGGCCGACGTGAGCTCGTCCTCGGAGGAAGATCTGGTGGCCAGGATGAAGCAGCAGAGCTTGTCTCCGGTCTGCAACGTTGCCAAGGGCACCATTTCCATGGAGACGGCTACCTCGCGCTTCTCCTCCATGGCAACCTCCCTCGCCTCCTCCAGCAACTTCGAGAGGGCGGCAAGAGAGAGCAACAGCAGCAGGATCCTGGTGGCAACCCCCATCGAGATCTGTGTCTAGGTGGCGCTGGGCTGGGCTGTGATGGGGAGCAGCTGTGGACACATGCTTAAAGAGTAACAAGTCTTTATCCCGGGAGGAATCGGTGGCTGTTGATGGGGGAGCCACTCTCAGCCACCAACTAGGGCTCGAACCTTGATTTCCGTGGGTCTGTGGGTCAGCCACTCCACGAGCCTTTCGTGTGGAGGCCAAAGCCGTTTCTCAGCAGCTGTGACTGAGAAGCTTTGAAGCCTTGGAGCACTGGGGCTGGCCACACATGCTGTCCAGCAGCAATCGAGACCCAACCGTAACATTTTAAAGCAATATACTCACTTTGTGTTGACGTACGGTGTGATATCGAAGACATAAAGCCGGGGCCACTGTTAGCTGCAACGAGACCCTGTATAAACCACGGCTGAACTCTGTGACTTTTTACTTAACGGTATGTCATTTATTTTGAGAGAGAGAGAGAGAGAGAGAGGAGGGGAAATGCCATCCTAAAGGATCAACAGTTTAGTGTGCTCTCTTGTTAAGGGCTGAACCGTGTTCAAGTGGAGGAATGAACCCACAGCACAAGGCATTTACACAAGTCTTTCACTGTCCCGTAACATAACATCATTGTGTCTATCCTGTGCCACCCCTGTCCAGCCTCCTGGCCCACCCAGGCATTGAGCTGAGGAGTGTCTGAACATCTCCTGTCTATCATGAACTGACTGTAAATGTAGTGACCTCTCCATTCTGTCTTTACTGTGAGAACTCCTGTTCAAAAAACATCAGGAAAAAAATGACTATTTTTAGTGGTCGGCATATGATAGACTTGCAGTTCCACCGTGTCTGAAACATTGAGGCTTGGAATAACTGAGGTCCATGGCAACTTTTGGGCAATCACTATAGCAACAGCCCGGGTTGCACCACTTGTGTGTGACGTTGAGATCCAGCGAGGGACTGGGATTGGATTGGGCAGACCCTGCAAATGATAATATAACATAACAGGAAAGGCAATGTGAAGGCACTTTTTCTCTCCTTGTAAAGTTCTCAGACTCTTTTTTGCACTTTCTTTCTCTCTCTTTCTCTCACACACAGTATTTGTGATAAACAGGTCGTCCACTAACAGGTCACTGTGAAGCCCGAACACATACATTTGGGGAAATAGCAAAGATTATTTCCATGAACAAATCACTTCACGTCTTGGCACCTCCCTACCTCTCTGACCTGCTTACTCCCATTCCACTGCCGATGGAACACTCTCCCTCAATCCCTCCAGCTTGCTTCTTCCTTCTTGTCTTCAGATCACACCTGAAGACTTTCCTCTGCCCGGCTCGGTGTCAAACTCCACCATCATCAAGCGCTCCGAGACTCTATCCTGTGTTAGAGGTGCGATGTAACTGTTGTTAACCAAGCCTATCTTTTGGTGGTTGATCACGGCAAACAGGAGAGCAGTGTGTAATGGATTCACTGTGCTGAGCTGGGCTCTCCGCTGTACAACTGGAAACTCTTTAGGCTTCAGACCAATTCTTGCAAGCTCTACTAAAGTGGTGGAACAGGCTGGATGGGCTGGATGGCCTCCTCCAGTTCCTATGTTTTCCTATGTCTCTAAATTGGGATGGGTGGGTGGGAGAGAGGTCCACGATACCTCAACTGTCCATCTCCCAATGATAACTGGATGGATCGGATGACCATCTTGGGTCAAAAGATCATTGGCAAGGCATTGGGCACCGTGCCAATGGTTCTGGATTAGAAACAGGGTTGTTTTGCCTAGAAATCTGGTGATTTAAACGTTCCTCTCTTTTTAGCCTCCCCACGCCCCACCCCACAAACGTCTTCATGTGTGCGTAGAGAAATGTCGATTTTGTGTGTGTACCCTCACTGTGCGTGTAAGAGAAGCATTTTTAATATTAATATATGTACAATACATCTCTATATATATATGACCACTATATCTAACGTATAATTTTACAATGGATTCTCGTATCTATTTTTTTTAAAACGAACCTGAAAAATGAAACCACAGGGCTAACGAAATCTAACCTTGTACGAGAGACATTTTCACACCCGATGTGGTGGGTGAGCTTGGCACATGCCCACACGAGAACTGCATTAAGGACATCAACGCAAAACAACCAAGCAGCCGTTGGAATAACACAAAATGGTGGATATCCAAAAATATCCCATTCGTTCCAGCCCCTCCAAACAAGGCGAAGCCATTTCGCTTCCTTCTACCAGCGTCTCTTGTTTGCTACCGTCATCTCCCTTCCCACTCCACCCGCCCATTCCCCCCTTCAAGCCCACAGCATGGGATGTGAGAGCCATGTGGCACACCCCAGAGTGGAAGGCCCACTCTGACTATTATAATCCCTCCCTTGTGGAGTCCTGTAGGGTAGTGGTTAGAGCACTCGCCTCGCAAGTGAAAAGACCCCGATTCGATTCCCGGGCAGGACAGTGCAAAACCTTAGGCAAGTTTCCTTAGTTCACGCACACGCTTCTGTTTACCTCGCAGTAAATAGGAACCCGCTTGTTAGGCGATTGGTGGATTGCTTTCCGGGAGGTAATAATCACTTCAAAACAAAAAAAATTGTTGGTCACTCAACCACGACTCTTTGTTTGTGGGATCCTGTTGTGCCCAATTGGCTGCCGCGTTTTGCCCACAAAATACACAGTCAATTCACTTTAGAGTATATTCTGTGAAGCGCTTTGAGACGTCTCGAAGACGTGACAAGGCGCTGTATCAAATGCGAGGATTATTATTATACCATGTTGACAATGATATTTGGACGAGTGGGTGTTTGGGGGAGGGGGAAAAATAATACTAACCTCCCAACCCAAAAATGACACGGATTGGAGATGGGTGAACAGAGAATTCCTTTGGTAAAGAATTCATTTGAGCCGGGAATCTCACTCCCAATGCAAGACACGCCTCAGCTAGTGTCTGGGGCGTCTAGGAATCTTAGTCGTTCAATGTATGTTGCCTCACAGTAGACATGTTCAGCTGCTTCTTGTAGACAGTGTGACACTCCGTACAGCACGGTAAGGACTTTTGCCCTGGCTCCAACCTCCAGAGGTGGTGAGGGTGATGGTGGGGGTGGGGGAACATTAACGTGTTTGAGTTGCAGTGCAGTGAGTGTTTTCTGTTCAATGCTCCTCGAGTTGTCCCTCAGTGATGGTTTGTGGTTGTAACTGTCTGTGGTTTGTGACCGTGCACTGCGCCCTGTTAGTCTCTGATTTTTAGCGATTAGCTAAAATGTTTCTTCAGCTCCTCTTCGAGCCGTACGATCGATTTAATGGTTGCAAAACAATTTGTCTTCCTGTAAGACTTTCTTTATAATTTGATTAAATTTAGCTAAGTACACATGGCTTTCCTCTTGTTCCTTTCACTGCAATGAAACACACTGAGAATAATGATCATGGCTGTGCTCATGCTGGGTAATTATTGACCATTCTATACCGAGATTGACGTCGTTAGACAGAGCTAATCACCCCACAATGATGTTCGCACCTATAAGGAGTTCTCTAGCGAAGTGGTTAGAAAGCTTGGCTTGTGGGCGAGAATTCCCAGGTTTGATTCCCGACAGGATAAAACCTTAGGCAAGTTTCCTTACTCAACACAGCCCTCTGTTTACCTAGCAATAAGTAGGAATCTGGTTGTTAGTTCGATTGGTGGATTGCTTTCCTGGGGTAATAATCCCTTCAAAACAAAATATGTGCTCACTCAATCCACGATTGTTTGTGGGACACTGCTGTGAGCAATTGGCTGGCGCGTTTCACCCATAAAATACACGGTCACTACAGTTTACATTATATTCTGTGAAGCACTTTGAGACATCTTAATGACATGATAAGGTGCTGCATCAAATGCAAGGATTATTATTACTATTATTATTTATTATCACATCCAGTGTCTTAACAACATGGACCACAGGAAGGTTTTCCCGGTGTCTGTGCTGACAATCGGTCCCTCACTCCCGAGCTGTGTGTGGAACATTGCTGTGCAATGTATTTGCCAGTAAGTACAGTCACTACACTGGGAGGCAATTCCCTGCACAGGAAGTGATGTGTCAGCAACCTGATGACCTGGAAGTCAGCCATGAACTATTGGAGGTGGTATAAAGGCTCTATAATGACGCCACCTATAAACCGCCTCATTGCTTTAACAAACAGATCATACCAACATTCCTGATAGGCAGAGGTGGGCACTGCGTCACCCAGCCCGCCGCCCCCTCCCCGACACCTGGGTGCTCACAGTCGCTCGAGGGTCCTCAGGCACCGCTCACACCAGTGAGAGCAAACACTTCGAAAGGTGACGCATTCCTGCTCCGCAACCGTCATCCGTACGGACCGTCACATCCGTTTCCACAGCAACCGTTCCGGGCGACACCATTTGACGGGAGGCAGAGCCTTGGCCACAGTGAGAAATCAGGTCGGTGTTTTCTTTTTGCTTTGGTGTCAAATCAGAGTAATGACTCAGTTGGTGATGGAGAAGGGATGAGAGACTGAGTAACAAGAAGGAGCTGGAGACAAAGCTTGGAGATGTCCAAGCCTCAGAGTTAATCGTGTGCCCACGCTATCAACATCCCGCACTCCACACCTTGGTTGCCGTCAGTGTGTGCTGTTGCTGTAATTATTAACCTGACTGAGAGACACCGGGAGCTCTCAACACCAACCGTCCCACGCACTGTGTGGTTTTGTTTTGAGCAGAACTTTCTGTTTTTGCCAATCTCTCTGCTGGTCAAGCTCTAGCAGTAACCCAACACACACTCTGGGTTTCCTCACAAACCTTGGCTCTTGTAAACGTGTCTGGGATCAGGTGAGCAGGGAAGCATAACCTCCAGAACCCCCACCCCAACACACGGACCAAAAACTTCCATCCTTAACACGGGAATTACGTTTCCGTGCTGAAGAGTCTCCAGACTAAACACCCGAAGGAAGCTCCCCATGGATTGGTTTGGGGGCTCTTTAGGCAAGGTGATGGTTTTTGGCATGTGTCGCGGCTGCAGACAATGTCCTGTTAACGCAGTGGGACAGCAATGCAGGTCTCTTACATTGATGACATTCCCAGGAGGTAACTTGTGTCTATCTGACCATTGAACTATTTGGCAGCCAAAGGGATTGGATGTCAAGGGCAACCCGTAGGCACTTGATAGCCGGGAGCAGAATGAATATTTTGAAAGATGTGAGGTTGCTGGCAATGCAGGGAAGCAGTTATTAATCATACATAATGAAATGGAATTTGTTCTGGGGGTGATTTATGACACTTGCGTCCGTTGCCATGGTTCATACCTGAGCAGGAGCGTGAGACAAGATAAATCACGGAGAGATTCGTGATCTCTGCAATTCACGTCGGAGCCTTTGTGTTTACTCAGAGGATCACACAATAAGCGTTCTCTCTCAGGGGATGAAAAATATTCACTGCTTTCATTTCTCATGACAAATGACGGGGCCTAATTTGTGGTATTGCTTAATGCAATTCCTCAAT